GGGGATCTTGGACAAAACTTCAATAAACCAATTAACTGAAATCAGTTAAGTCTGATACTACATCCATCCAGGTTTAACTTAAACCAGTTTTGGCGATTTTGAAAGTGGTTTTCCTGCCCTGAACTTCTGTTGCGTTACAGATTTGAACCAGTTTCTGATCACTTTGTGTGTAATTTCTGTCCCTAGCCTAAAAGACATCTCTAATGGAGAGAACCTCTGGTGGTAGAAAGCCAACAAACCTGCTCTTTTGCTAACCCTAGCTAGCCACCAAAATAAGGATTTTCTGAGGGAACATTGTCTCTTTGCTCTAGGTGCTAGAATGTTGCTGGGAACCAAAAACAGCCAGTCATAAATTACACAAAGCAACCTAGGGGCTGCTACAATATATGCTGTATACTGGCACAAGTTAAAGCAAATTTTGCACATACCCCCACCAATTTTGTCCAGCTGAGTTGAGTAGGACTAGAGAATTAGCCCTTGAATCTGTCAGTTTCAAATGCTAGTGATTACCTCTAAAAATAACTGTAGGAACAAAATTAGCATTTTGGTTAAGGTCCCTTTAAAAACATTGAGCTGAGATTCACGTATATTGTGATGATAATGACAGATCCCAGGTACTCTTTCTTATACTATTCAGAAATTTAGGGCTAGACTAATAGATAGTCTCTTTTTCCCATTAACTGGAGTGCAGGACAAAGCCAAAAACACTGAACCAATTTCATTTAACATGCTTCTAAAATTATCATCTAATGCCTTCCTCTAAGGTCAAACATCTCTTATATCACAGTGCCAGAAAAAAGAAAAGTTAGAGGATAGTCTGGAGCACAGTAGAGAGGGGTAACAGTTCTACTGAGGCACTAAATTGGACCTCAGGAGATCTGGGAGCAATTCTTAGCTGTTATATACTTAATCCCTCTGTGCCTGAATGTCCCACATGTAAAATGGGGATATTTCCTTTCTCCTATCCCTAGTATGACTTCTCTATATACATTATAAGTATTTCAGGATAGGCACTAATTCATTATATTTAACATAGGAAATTATTTCCTCCTAACACTTGACCTGAATGGAAGTTGGACCTGGGGCCATAGTAAGGACCTGATTTTGACTGGGACTTCTAAGTCCTCCTGTAATTTAAGAAGAAAAGTAATCAAAGGGAGAGAGATGGGTGTTCATCAGTCTTTCAGAATGAACATGCATTAAGTGACACATAACGTGTAGAGGAGAGATGAGATGACTGATGAAAAGAGACAATTGGAGGATGAAAAATGACTTGACCTCAACCTTTGCATTTGTTTTATTGCAGCATGGAGATGTGTGACCAGAGAAACAATATCACCATGTGCCCTTTATGTGACAAAACATGCAGTTACTGGAAAATGAGCTCTGCCTGTGCCACTGCTCGAGCAAGTCACCTCTTTGATAACCCGGCAACTGTCTTCTTCTCTGTCTTTATGGCTCTATGGGGTAAGAACATATGTGGTTTTGATGTGGGTTTTTAATTCTCTTAAATATAGCAGGAAAATCACCAAAAACCAAAGTAATATGTTTAAGCTTGGAGAGTTGATTATGTCAAATCCTTTTTAAATCCTTTTCCAATGAAAGTGCCACCCCTAAATTTACATTGTAGACTAAAAGCTAAAATTCAGAAAATTGCTCAGATGAATATGAAATGAAATTGGTAAGCTTCTGTCAGAAAAACTGCTGTGTGGTATGCCTAAATTTCATTAAGGGGGTTGCACAGCTTGCCAACAAAATCTATTTGCAGAGCTAGCTTTCAAATTAGTACATTACCAGCAAGATGTATAGCATACTTTTTGGAAGGGGGATTTGAAAAGAACAAACCATGATTGATTCTTGATTTTTGCTCCTAAGTGTAGTTCAGTTTATCCAGAAGCATGCATGTGCATAGCAACACAAACCCAAAATTCCTATGTTCAAATTATTTGTCTGATGCTGACCCTTCCCCCATAAGCTTCTGAGCTTGCCTCTTAAAATTTCTGCTTTAGTTCCCGCCTTTAAGATTTGACTTATTAATATCAGCTCTTTGGAGAACTGTTGCGAGAACTTATTGAATAAAGTCTGGGAAGTGTTTCATAAGAATTTCGTGTTATTACAGTCATCTCAGCTGGGCTCCCTATGCGGACAGTAGCCCAGACAGTACCAGAAAACCATTACATACCATAGATCTGTTCTAGAGAAATTCATTGCCCAACTAGCACAAAAACTCTCTCCTTGAAATATAGAACTCTATAGAACCATAGTTAATCAAGATCATTGCCCCTGGGGAATAGCATAAGGCAGATGTGTACTTTTTAACTAGTTTGGTGATGAGCTTGAACTCCAAGTTCCAGCATCATCTTTGTGCATGATATCTACTTGTTGGGAGAGGGCACATGCGAGTCCCACCTTGCTTTGGAAGCCTCACAGGGGTCTTGAATGAAGAAGAAACCTAATTAAGTTATAGATTAAGGATAGGCTGGAAAATGGCCTGCTATCAGTCAGATGAGCTTCAGCAAAGACAAGTACAAAGTCCTGTATGCGGGACAGAATAATTACATGCACAAATATAGACTAGGGAATGACTGAGTAGGCTGCAGTACTGCAGAGAAGGACTTGGTGGTTACAGTAGACCATAAGCTGAAAATGAGCCAAGAGCATACTTTAGTTTAAAAAAAACCCAATAGTATTGTGGGTTGTATTAACAGGAGTGTCACTTGCAAATCAAGGGAAGTGATTCTTTTGTTCTGTTCAGCATTGGCGAGGCCTCAATTGGAGTACTATGTCCAGTTTTGGGACCCACACTTCCAGAAAGATGTAGATAATTTGGAAAGAGTCCAGCACAGAGCAACAAAATGATTAGGGGCTTAGGAGACAAGACTTATAAGGAAAGGCTGAAAGAACTATGGGTATTTAGTCTGGAGAAGCAAAGACTGAGGGGAGATTTGATAACAGTCTTCAAATATCTCATCCTTATAGACAGGATGAAGATGGGCTTTTCTCTGTGGCTGTAGGGGACAGGAATAAGAGTAATGGCCTCAAGCTTCAGCAGGGTAAATTTAGGCTGGAGATTAGGAGGAACTCTCTGACTACGTGGGTTGTCAAACACTGGAACAGGCTACATAGAGAAAATATAGAATCTCCATCCTTGGAAGTGTTCAAAAGAAGGTTAGACAGACACTTGGCTGACATGGTTTAGCCAGGGATGATCCTGACTTAAGCAGTGGGCTGGACTAGATGACCTTGTGAGGTCCCTTCCAGCCTTACTTTCCTATGATCCTAAGTGGCTACACACACTCTCTATGCCAGAAAATTTTTGTATTGACAATATCTACACATTAGTGCCAGGGTCCAAAGTCACACCACCAAGGAAATAAGCTCCACCTACCCACTCCTACCCTAGCATTGCACTCCATGACTGGTTTTATAGAGTGACCAAATTTCTGCCATATTTCTATATTTGACACATGCAGAGTGGCTTGTTCCCTAAGAAATATGACTGAGCACCATCAAGGAACCCATATATTTGTGGAACTGTTAAATGAGAATCCTGTATATAGGAACCACAAAAGACATGTGATTGTATTCCAGCCTAGCGGTCATACTGCAGCACAAAACATGCATCTAAATAGGGAAATTTATTTTGCTGCCTCTGATCTCTGCACTGAATAGCCACATTAGACTAATACAGCATTATAAGCACCACAAAAAGATTTTTGCCCAATCTATAAACCAGACCTTTATGTATTAGTAGTGGTCTCCATTTTAGATGATAAACTAGCATATTTACTCTACTGGAAATGCAGAACTAGTTCCTATTTGCCGAGACATCAAAGGAATAATTTTTTCTATTAATATTAATTTGGATCCTTTAAAATACCTTATCTTCCTGACCAAAGCTGCTATTTTATAAAAGCTGCAAGGCAAACAGGCCTGACTGACTTTTCTAGTTTGAAATATATGGGGGAGAGGAATGGCTATTTAATATGTGTCCTTTTGAGAGTTAGCTTTGAAGCAGACTTGGTGAAAGATGTAAGAGGATAATCAGCAAGAAAGCTGTGGAGGAAAAGCAAGCCTACCTAAACTAACTATGCAGTGTTGATGAGTGATCTGCTATCTTGAACAGCATCTTGTCATGTTACTCATATTAGGACATAGGCTACAACTCAAAACAGTATGCCACATCAGAGACTTTAAATAGCCTGACTCTCAAGTGAGTAATCAAATATCTGGCCTCTCTTGCCTACACTCACTCTCAGTGTAAAATGACAGGTATCTTAGTTGAATACTAGTCAAATATATCATGACATGGAATATTCTGTTCCAAGCCAATAAGGTTGCTTGTTTCATTGTTTCATAGCTGGTAGGGTCAGAAGGGACCTGAGCAGATCGAGTCTGACCCCCTGCCATGGCAGGAAAGAGTACTGGGGTCAAACAACCCCGGCAAGGTGTTCATCCAGCCTCCTCTTAAAAAACCCCAGGGTAGAAGCCAGCACCACTTCTCTTGGAAGTTGGTTCCAGATCCTAGCCGCCCTGACTGAAGTAGTGCCTCCTGATATCTAGCCTGATATCTCCTGATATCTAGCCTGAATCTACCCTCCGCCAGCTTGTGACCGTTATTTCTTGTCACTCCTGGTAGTGCTCGGGGGAACAGGGACTCCTCCAGTGCCTGCTGGTCCCCTCTGACTAGTTTGTAACAGGCCACTAGATCCCCTCTCAGCCTTCTCTTGTGGAGGTCAGGTCTTGTAGCCTCTCTTCGTAGGGCTTGCCCTGCTGCCCCTGATCATGGACCCTCTCCATGTTGTCCACATCCCTCCTGAAGTGCGACGCCCAGAACTGGATGCAGTACTCCAACTGCAACCTGACCAGTGTCGCATAGAGGGGAAGGATCACCTCCTTGGATCTGTTTGAGATGCATCTGTGGATGCATGACAAGCTATGGTTGGCCTTTCTGACTGCTTCCCCACACTGTCGGCCCATGTTCATTTTGGCATCAATAATGACTCTAAGATCCTTTTCTGCCTCTGCACTGATGAGAAGGGAGTTCCCCAGCCTGTAGGTATGGTGCTGATTCTTCCTCCGCAGGTGCAGTATCTTGCCCTTGTCAGTGTTGAAACCCATCCTGTTCTCATCCGCCCACCCTTGTGGAACTTGTGTTCCACAAGTTAACAGAATACTGTTCTTGTCCATTTTAGTGTTAGTGCATGCAATTTATTAAAAGTATAATTTTTCCAGCTGTACAAAGCCAGTGTAACAACAGGTTTTGCGCACACAACTTCAGGGGGCAGGAGCTAAAAATCCCCCTGTATATTAGAATATTTATATACCTTCTATTTCCATTGTATGAAAGATGTTTTTTTAATTTAACCTTCACACCTGTATGGATCAGGGAAAACGTTTAGACCTGTAGAACTGAGGTACAGAAAAATGAAGGCCCTAATACAGGGATGGGCAAATATTTGGGCTGGAGGGCCATTTAGGGAGTTTTGGTGATCTGTTGCAGTCTGTGTCCACATGTCCGCACTGCTCCCCACCAACAGCTCACCAAAACTCCCTAAGTAGTTTGCCCCACCCTCGGCCCTAGGATCGGGCTGCAAGTGGGCATCTGGGGGCAGGGCAGGTGAACGGGGCTGGGATCAGGATCACAGGGCAGTGACAGCACAGGGCTGAGGCCCAAGGCAGGCTCCCTGTATGCCCCTGTCCATGGAACCGGCACCCATCGCAGGGGGCATAGGGGCAGCAGATGGACATCAGGAGGCGCTACTTCACGGTCAGGGCAGCTAGGGTCTGGAACCAGCTTCCAAGTGAGGTGGTGCAGGCTCCCACCCTGGGGGTTTTTAAGGTTGGATGACCACCGTACTGGGGTCGTTTGACCCCAGTGCTCTTCCTGCCATGGCAGGGGGTCGGACTAGATGATCTGCTCAGGTCCCTTCCGACCCTAGAAACTATGAAACTATGAAACTATGTCTCTGCCCCAGGCCCTGGCTGCGTGCTGTCACTGCCCTGCAATCATTCCCAATCCTGATCCCAGGCCTCACTTGCTCACCCCATTCCTAGATGCCACGGCCCCATCCCATCTGCCCTGCCTGTGTGGGTCCCGGGCTGGTCTCCATGAAGACTACACCCACCTACTTTGTCCAGTGTCCCCAGCAGTTGGCATGGGCTGGGATGCCAAGGTAGTGGGGCTGGGTCTTACAGTAGTGGCAGAAGTTAGCAGTGGCAGCTAGAAGAAGCTGCCATTTCCAGGGCTGTTGGGAAGTGAGTCTGGCTGCTGCACACCCCCCAGCCTCTCTGCACATCTAAGGGCAGCAGGACCGGCCACATGCACCATGGCCCAGGCTACACCCTGAACCTGGGCTACGGGGGCCAAGAGACCCACTGTGGGCCAGAAAAAATCACTGGGTGGGCCAGATCTAGCCCACAGGCCATGTTTTGCCCACTCCTATGCTAATACCAAAATAAATAAAATAAGGTAAGCACATACCAACTTTAATTGTACAAATAGTGACATTGACTTGGATAGCTCTACTTATATGCTTCGAGTTACTTAAATTCTCTCCAGTATTCTCTCATGACTTTGAAATTCTCTATTTTAAAGTAAGGCCTAAGGGCCCAAACAAACCTGGTTTCAAAGGCACCTAATAGTATTTATGTGGAATTTAGGCACCTAAGTGTCAAAACTTGAACCCAAATTGGCTCTGCTCCACAAGACATCAAACTCAATAGGTATCTAAGCTCAGGCAGTTCCTCTAATTGGACTGCTGTGCTCCCTAGGCACCCAGACTTGGGCTTCTGAGCATGCACAGAAGTAATCCAGTTTGATTTTGCCTGATTCCTAAACTTTGTTGTAATCCTGTTTGATGCTAGGGAGATGCTTAAGTCCCCAGAGGGATCCAAGCTATGAGGTGTTCTCAAAGCATTGCTAATTCACATCCACAGCATTAAATGCATTTGTGGTAATGATGATGCCCACCTTTTACATAGTGTTCAAAGTACCCAAGTGTTGGGAGACGTGGCTTCCAGACCCTCCTCACCCTGAGGGAGTTTAAAGTAGCATGTATTACTCCCCAGGGCTAGTAGCAGAAATTCCACATAAACCACTATAAGTGATAGGAAACTGGTTCAAATATGTAACGCAGCAGAAGTTTGGTGCACTTAAACCACTTTCAAAATAGCCGAAACTGGTTTAAGATTAATCTGGATGGATGCAGTATCAGACTTAACTAGTTTAGGTTAAATCAATTTCTTGAACTTCTGTCCCAGATCCCCTTCCGATGCAGGTTAACTTACAGTCCTCTAGCATTTCAGGATGCTTTGAACCTCCTCCACAAATCTTCCCCCTCCCCTTGCCCCCACCACAGGGCGGACAGGCTAGCTTTGGCCCAAGCTGTCCACTCCAGCCGAGCAGGGACATATGCTCTAGCAGCCCCCAGCTTCTGGCCTGGGCCACTACAAGTATGTGGCTACATTTCTGAAATCAAAAGTGAATGTCTGTTCACTTGCTTGTTGGTTCAATCTATGCAGCTTAGACTAACCTGCAAGGATTGAATCAATTCAATCTCAGGCTTTTTGGCTATCTGTACTTAGCCCAGGAGTGTCTCATAACTGCCCACTTATAGAATATCCTAGGTGAGTGCATCCTCAACCCATCCTGTTGAATCTGGGCCTCTGAGCAGCCAGGAAGGCAAGAGTTACAGAGCTAGAATGAGACAAAGAAAAAGGATGTGTGGCTCTATGGTCTATACTTATAGCACACCTCAGAGAAGAGGGTCTGGCTTCTGGTTCCTGCTTCTAAGGTTATTTCTATTTGTAACAAATAATTGCCTAATATAAAATGCAGATAGAGTCCTGGCAGCAAGGATCAGTAGCCAGAAATGCCAGAACAATAGGCTACTGCATGCTCTCTCTCTCTCTCTCTCTCTCTCTCTCTCTCTTGCTTGCTGCCAGGACTGAAATAAAGTAATATGGAACTTTTTCCAAAGGAATAAAGCCTGTTTTTTTCTTTTGGTATGAAATCTATTCCAGAACCACTCAGAATCCAGATGATGTAAGTAATCTAGAAAGCCATCTTCCAGAACCTTTAAGTTATATTTGCATTGGTGGACACACAAAACCTGAAAATGCATGTATGTTTGACAAAAAAAATAGCCCCTTGCTACTGCTTTGTATTTGGCACATTCACTTGCTGCTTTTCATCTGAGCTAAGAGCTGGCTGTGTTTCAGATGTAATATTTTCATTTTATATTTTTGTAAGTCAGTCCTGTAAAATGACTTCTAGTAGGAGCAAGAAACAATGTGTCTTTCATTTTCCATATTTTGCTGTATGTAAAAAGAGACCGCAATGTAAGAACTCCCAAAGCTACAGGAAAAGGGAGAGAATTTCAGGATTATGACATAGTCTGTTTAATAGTATAATTATAATGGTTCCAACTTACAAGAAGCACAAGAATTGTAATTGGAGTTCAGGTTTGGGCTTTGTACATAAGATTTTCACATGAAGAACTGATGAATGTCTTCAGCTTAATCTGATTCCAATCATACCGGTGTCTTTTCCTTTGTATTAGTCTTTCTTACCTGCAGTGTTGTACTGAATATCATGGCAAATCTTGCTGAGAACATCTGTTACTATTCACTATGGAGAAACTCTCATGGGGTTTGCCATTCTCAATAGATTTGCTTCTTTCATAATTATTTATTGCACAGGTCTAAATTATTCCCAACATGAAAGTATGTCCTTTGAGGGTTTCCTTAACCACAAAAGGCAGATAGAATGATAAATAGTGGAACTTTGTTGTAACTTGAGGAGTTGCTTTCACAGTGTTTCTTTTCTGTAAGTCTATTGAGTTAAAATTAAAATTAATACAACATCATGGCTTCCTTTACAACAGCCACTAAAAGACTCCATCTTTAACCATCTTTCCAGCACAGATTAACATATTTCTGTCTACACATGGTTTTTGTACTGGTATAACTGTCTCAGTTGGGATGCCATTAGTTACTGAGGGTATGTACCAAAGTTCCAGCAGCCTGTCAGGGAGGCGCTCTAACTATGGTGCTTTACACAAAATGCCATGAATTAGCAAGCTATTGAACCCAACCAGAGTTTGCCTTTTGGGTGGGGAAGGCTCAGAGCCTGCTTGCACTGGCTGAAGCCAGAGGTTGAGGCACTCCAGCAGCCTCCCAGGAGGCCTCCCCTCAAAGCCCCAGTAGGAGCAGCCAGGCTGGGCCCACAAGAAAGGGAGGCTCCATTTCCACCCCCCACTCCCCACCCAGCTCTGACTGCAGCAAGCCTCTGCTGCTGTCAAGATACTTGAGCAGGGGTGGGGGAAAGGGAGACCACCCCCCTTCCCCACTGTGCAAGCCAAGTCCAACTCCCCCTAAGACCTCAGCAGAGGTAGCTGTGCCAGGTCTGCAAGGCAGGGGGGCTCCATTTCCCAACCACCCCCCAGCTTCAGGTGCAGCAGTCTCTGCTACTGTCAGTATGCTCATACAGGGGGCAGGAGGAAGGGAGGACCCTGCTGCATGGGCCCAGCCTAGCTCCTGCTAAGACTTCAACATGGGTAGCTGGGGCACGCATGACGGAGACGGGATGTGGGGAGTCTCTTCCTCCCATGCCTGGCTGTGCAGGCAGGAGACAGGTTTTCAGAGGCTTTGCTGAGCCCTGCAAAGCCACATGAGATACAGGTTCTCTAAGGCTCTGTGCCCTGGAGCGCCCTTGTCTGATACTATATCAGATGAGGGGTTAAATTTTTGCACCATCAACCATTTTAAAAGTGCCATGAATGTTTCTTGTGTTATGGCTGTGGGGGCCTCATTGCACAAAAATGTACCTTCTCTACACACCCTGAGATGCTTACAGCAGTTGAAACCCAAGTGTGAATTCAGTTATAGCAATATGAAAGTGGCTTATACCAATACTGCTTATTTCTCTTCCCTTGTGGGAGTAAATTATACCAGCACAGGCACCTGTGAACCAGTATAACAGTTTCAATGCTGCCAGTTAAAGCAGCATACCCATTTAGACTAGGGGCAGACATTCAAAAAGCCAAAGCCTGATTCAACCTTTGCAGGTTAGTATAACCTGCAGAGAGTTAATGGGTTTGTAACAGAACAGACATGGAGGGACATGCCTGCAATTGCTCAGGCCAGAAGCCGGGGGTGCTAGAGGGCACCCTCAGATGCAGGGAAGCTGTGGTTGGGGGTGGGGGGCATGGCCAGTTTGGGCTGAACTGACCAGAGAGGGGTTTAATTCCTTCTGCCCTGTCCAACCATCAGGACTGCCAGTTGCTCCCCCTTCTTGCTGCAGTACTGGGCACCATGGCCCCTGAGGCAGAAGGGGCAGGGAGAGAGGTTAGTCTCCCCTCTACCCCTTTTGGTAGCCCAGTCTGCCCTCCCCCTGTTGCCACTGCGCTCACTTCCTGTGGTGGAATAGGCCCCTGCTGTACACTTCGTGGAACGACGGAAGGAGAATAACCTCATTCCTGCCCCCATCAAGGGGCCCTACAGGCTGGCTGTGCCCTCGATGGGCCACTGCAGTGGAAGGGGGCAGGGTCCTTGGTGGGGACAGCAGTCTGTCATAATGTCTGGCAGCACAAGCCCCTTCCTGGCCAGAGCCCTGTCCCATCACGGTTGCTCCCCCCTTGCCACTCCAGCGGCTGGGCAGGGGCATGGCTAGACACCGTGGGCTGGGCAGATCTGGCCTGCAGAGGGGCTTTGTCTGGCCCCAGCAGGTCCCTCAGTCCCACCAGGCCGAGGTGCCACTCCCTGGACATCAGCGAGGCTGGGGCTGCTCTGCAGCAGGACTGCCTTTCTTGGCAGCCCAGCCACAGCAGCTCCTTTGCTGCTGCCACTGGTCCCAGCCCCATGGTACAGGCAGGGACCAATGCATGAAGCCTCGACCCTGCATGCCCCACACCAGGTGTAGACTCGCCTGTCCAGGCTGAGTAGCAGAGGTGGGGGAGAAACTGCTGCTCAGTGCAGGGGGAAAGCAGCTCCTCCCTGTCCCACTGCCAGTGCTTCCAGGTGCATCCACCCAGAGCCTGGGTGGGGCTGCTCTGTGTACCCTCCATGTCACTACCACTTCTGGGCTGCCCCATGGGACAGGCGGTGGCAGCAGAGCAGACACAGAGCAGCAGTGCTGGCTCCAGGTAGCTGCAGCAGGAAGCACTGGCAGCTGGAGGGGGAGGGGTTGCTTTTGCCCCTTGCCAATGCCAGGCTTGCCCATCCAGGCTGAGCAGCAGTGGTGGGGAGAGAAACTGCTGCTCAGCACAGGGCAAAAGCAGCCCCTCCCCTTCCCACTGCAGGCACTTCCTGCTGCAGCTGAGAGTTTGTGAAGGGTGTGGCTGTGGGGGGGGCATAGGGTATTTGGGGGGTTGTGGGGGAAGAGTGTGGGTGTACAGCATTTGTGGCATGTGAAGGAGGGTGGGGGGTGTGGGGACTCCCCCAACACCTCCCCCATAGTGAAGCAGCAGGTGGGGGTGCTTAGGGTGCTTTTGCCTGGCACAGCCAGTGCTGCACATCGTGGTGAGAAGCACAGCCCCTGCCAGGCTACCTCTTTCATCAGTGCTCCCTGTCATGCAGTGTGTGGAGCCCCCACACTCATGCGATGCCAGAGGGAAGCCCCCCTACGCTGGAGCTGGCTGCCTTTGCTGCTCTCTGCTGCACAAGGAGCAGAAAAGGCAGCCAGCTCTAGTGAATGGGGTTTCCCTCCCCTGCTGCATAAGTGTGGGGGCTGCGTGTGCATGGCATGGAGCACTGGTGATAGAAATGGCTCAGCGGGGGCTGCACTTCTCGCCGCAATGTGCAGCACTGGCCAGAGCTGCACGCTGTTGGTCATGAGCACCCCCACCTGCTGCTGCTGCCACTGCTGCCTGCCAGGGCTGCACACCATGGGAGGAGTGTGGGGAGGGGGTCCCCACACCCCCCACCCTCCCTCATCCACACTCTGCGCACCTGAGGCCCACACTGCTGCGGCCCCCTTGGGTGCAGACTCCACACTGCCACCAGCCACCCACTGCAGCTCTGTTCCCACCCCCACCACTTCCCTACCTGCTGTCTGGAGCAAGCAGGATGCTGGGGAAGCCAAGCAGGTCCCCAGCAGTTGCAGCAGCAGCCCCACCCAAAAGCTGCCTGTTGGCCAGGCCAGGCCCTTCCACCCCCAAGAGTGGGAACAAGGTGCAGTTGGGGGCGTGTGTATACGCGGATGCCTTGCTCCCACCCTCATAGGTGGAAGGGCTGAGCAGGGTCCAATTAATCAGTGGGTGCCACAGGTGGGATGAAAGTGGTCGGTGGGCCAGATGTTGCCCGCTGCTGAGTTAAAATAATACAGCTTTTGTTTGTGAACACAGCGCGGTTCTATTTGGATTGCTTGGCATCCACATACAGAGAAGCTTGGAAGTATTGTTCCTGACAAAATATATATTTGTCTGTCTGGCTACCTCCCTCCCTAGGGTTTGGGCACCAAATTCCCTCAAGATCCTTAATTAACCATCTGTCTACCCACTAGCAGGTAAAAGCACAAGATCTGTCAGTGTATGAGAGAATGCGACTCTTCTGGTTTTTATAGCTAATGAGTTAGCTCAGAGAGTTAGGCCTTTACTATTTCCCAGATAAATGTTATTGATCAGACTCTGTATGATGACTACAGTTAAGAGCCTGAAAGTATCAGACTGGCTCTGCTCGGTGAAGGGCCTCTGGATTTACATAAGGGTGAACAATAATAAATTTATCCTAACATGCCAAAGCAGTGAGGTTTACATATTGAGGCAATTCTGAAGAACAATTTGATTTTAAAGGCTTTGTAAATGGTCCAAATAATTATGCTTAAAAAAAAAACCCTCTTTCTTTTCTTTGCATTTCCAGCTGCCACATTTATGGAACACTGGAAGAGAAGACAGATGCGTCTCAACTATAGATGGGATCTGACTGGGTTTGAAGAGGAGGAGGTTAGTTTTAAAGTCATTTTGAATTGATGTCATTTCATGATTTTGTTTAGCTTCCATAATTAGATCTAAGTGATTCCTTGCTTCAGGCTGCTAGACATCACTAGATGGAATACTGAGAGAGATTTTTGCAGTACTTCTTTGATCCAAAAGAAGAAAATCCTTGTTGTGAACATTTTTTGAGTTTCTTATACAAGTGTATTACTAGCACATATTGTTTCCATAGAAATATAAGTGTATAGCCACAAACAATGGTATTAAGTCACACCTACTTGAGCAGACATGAAATATATAGCTCATGTGTAGCTGTTTCTAAAAAGAGCACTAAAGGCTAAAACACTTAAAGCTAAAAGCTAAGACACTCATTCTTCTTGCATTAAATTGCTATGAGTGAGGAATGACTGTACCAAAGCTGATGAAGTTATATTATCATAAAAACCACCAACACTTCCATTAACTTTAATGATGCAGGATCAAGCCCTAATTTGGTAAATCTTTTGGAAAATATTGCTTAAATGTATGGAACACGTCACAGGAATACTGGGATGTAAATGTGGGGGTAATGTTTGCTGCATGTGCCAGAAACTTTTAGGCAGGCTTTATAATAAACATGTTTGAGAGTGGAAGGATTGAGAAATTCAAGCAAAAGATTGCTAAATTTATATTCAAATGGATATGTATATGCACCTATGAGAATGTGTGGGGGAGGAAACTTCATCCATTACAACTGATTTTCTTCTTTTTTTTTTTTTTTTTTTACATTCTGACATTATCACCAAGGATCCTGGTTTCCTCTGCTTAAAAATTGCAAATTCTCTGATTAAAACCCCCCAAATCCGCAATTAAAACGAAACACCATTTCATGGGCAGGCAAGGGGCAACTCACCATGGTGGTGTGGGACTTACAGTGGCAAGGAGCTTCCCTGCCCTCCCTGCTCTGTCCTGCTGCACTGGGTCCCACCCACTGTGCTGTAGAGGCCCTGGGGGGAAGGCAGCTGGGTGGACAGCCCAAGCCCTCAGCAGGCAGCCTTCTCTGCCCCTGCCGCACACACATCTGAGGGTCACATGCCCCCACCCCCCCATGCACCACTGGGAGTGCTCATAATGGTGGGGAGCCAGGCCCACCCCTCACCACCCCGAGATGAGCTGCCCACGGCTCTGTCCCTCTCCCTGCCGGGGCCTTGTGGCCGCGCATCCCAGCCTCAGGCCCCATGCACAGCAGCAGCCCCAGCCATGCTCAGCTCCCTCCATCCCTCCCTATGGGGGCCTCAATCCCCCCTCCTCCCCACCAGACTTACCTGTGGAAGCTGCTCTCCAGGCTACCTAGAAGACATGTGCATGTGTGTACACGGACATGCACATGGTGCCCTCTGCCTGATTGCCCTCCTTCCACTCCCCCCAGCCCCTTGCAGGCTGGAACTTTGCCAGTCTGCAGAGAGCTCTTTGCAAAACTGGAAAATTCACAGGTTTTTCCGTTAAAATGAAAAATCCGCATTTTTCTCGGTTAAAAGGGAATGTCTGCTGATTTTGCCGTTTTTCTGTGGGAAACGAAAAACTCGGGTCCCTGACTATCACTA